AAAATGAGACAATCCTAGTTAAAAAAAATCCTATCATTTTTCAAGATAAGTAGATGGACACAGAAAAAAGGGTATGATCCAAGCATGTAAAATAGCCCAGAGACAGAGGCTAAGAAATGTTTGGTTTGGTTTTTTTTTTTCATAAGAACTTGATGCAAGATAAGTAGAAAGAATTAAAAATAAAAAAGGAGGGAGGGATGCTGTTCCTACTCTATATAGTTAGCTGTGGAACTCGTGCCCACAGGCTACTGCAGATGATGAAAATTTAGATGAATTCCAAAGGCAACTGGACAAATCCATGAGAAAAAAAAAAAACCAAACAAACCACTGAAGACTCTAAAGTACCTAGACAGAACCACTATCTCTGAAAGTGCCTGAGCTGCAAATACTACATATAGTAGTGAAAATATTGTAGGGATGCATAATTAATGTAACTGTTTTCATATTGTTTCCAAGTCATATGGTAATATAGGGCTAAGTAAATGAGCCTCAGTTTAAGCTGCTAGGGCCATTACAATATTATGTGCCTCACATACCAAATATATTTATCTAGTCATGTCAAACGTATTTATCTGGTAATGGGTCTGAAATCTTTGTATTAATTCCTTTCTACATTCTCTGCAGTAAATTCAAAAATATCAGATAATTTGTCACAGGAAGTACTTGTGAAAATTTAGGGTATTTACAAAAACAAAAAGACCAAGCTAGAAATTTATAATGGTGCTTTCTAGACCTAACAAAACAAACAAACAAAAAATCCAGGATAATATAGTACAAAAGGAATAAGTATGCCATTCCTTGCAATAGATGATCCAGGAAAAACCCAACAGATTTTGAACAACAGCAAGTCTGTCAGTGAAACTATCAAGCACCAAAGAAAATCTTCAGATCTGTTTCCTTACTATAGCCTTTTGAGTTAAGAAAAAAACCTGCAGAAGGTATCCTGATATTCTTAAGAATTCTTCTTGTGTGAGAAACAGGACAAGTCTTCAAGTCTTCAAAAAACAAAAGCTACACATATCCTTGCTTTTATTACTTAATTTCTAAAACAGCAACTCTGCACAATTCAAAAGCTGGAGAACTGCATAGGAATATCATGAGTGAGTCAAGACTACTGGAAGTTAATACACTTATGTGTGGATTTCTGTAACAAAGTAGATTGTAGGAGAACAAGAAGAAAGAGTGGAGTCAGTAGGCTGGGAGAAGAAAAGAATGTTATAGTAGCTTTATGACTTAAAAGTGGTTTTTTTTTTCCCTGTGGGATACTGGGCAGAATATATACATAGTTCAAAGAACATCCCCATCTCTGGCTTTCTTAATGATGTGGTTCATCGCTGCTCCCTTAAAATACGTTTTTTTATTTTGTTAAAAAGTATAAATATTTAACTTGCTTAAAAACACTGGTTTCAAAAAATAGTTATGTGTTATTCTTTATACACAGTTGTTTTTAAAGTAGAATTAATATGATGATTACTTGATATTACTGAATAACAAAACTAATTACTATTGGTAAATCCACATGCCCCAGGCAGTCTTAATATACTTTATCCTCTTTATCTAATAAAAAGAGATTTACCTGCTTAATGATTTTCAGACTTCAGAGAATGTAATTCACTAATTTTTGCCATTTTAACTAAGTGTGGCTTATTTTTTGAAATCCAGGGCAGATGAACAGAATATACCGGACTCAAAATCACATAAATTAGAAATTCATCGGGGACTGTTATGATCAGTTAGATAGCATTAGAACCAGTTCAATCATAAAATCACAGCAGGTAGTTTTCTGATATGAAAAATCAATTAAATGACCCCCAGCTCAACATCTTTTTGTCATGTTCCTTGGCAGTGTTTTACACCAAATAAGATTTTTCCCGATGTCCAAACTTGAATAATGTTTCCTTTCATTTTTAATTATATAACTCTTTCTATATCTCTATAATTCTTTATACAACTACACATGATTCTACTTCAGCCTTGATGTTTGCACTCCTTAAATATTTGTGGCTTCACAGCTTCAAAACATTAATCTTGCAGCCAAGGTGTATGCATTTGACTCTTATGATCCACCTCCTGCCCCATAAATCATACCCAGAATCCCCAAATCTTTTGTTGTCTTTCTTTAGAATACTGGTTAGCTTCAAAGGGCTGCTTGCTGGAAGAGCTGTCATCAGCCCGCATAGCTGGCACCCTTGAGTGCTCACCTTGCTGGGGAAAGAATCAGCAGGGAGGCCTACAGAAAAAGTTCTAGAGAGAAGCAGAAAAAGAGACAAGTTTTATACAGTCATAGTTTTTACTACTTGGACATTTACTGCAAGCAGTAGAAACTATTGAGTCTGAAAAAATGCAAAGCATTGCTAAGTATCAAAAGTCAAAGGTAAATGCAAAGTCCTGCACCTGAGATGGAAAAATCGTAAAACAAATATAGGCTGGAGGCCAATGACTACAGAGCAGCTTTGTGGAAAAGAACCCAAGGGTCCTGGCAGACAACGAATTGAACATGCGACAGCAGCACGCCCCTGTAGCGTTGAAGGCTAAACACTTACTGGGTAGCACTAACATCAGCAGAGCCAGTAGATCAGATGTGAAGTTATTTCCTTTTACTAGATACTTGTGAGTTCACACCTAGAGTACTGTCTCTAGCTTGGAGCTCAATAGTAGGAAAAATAAGATTGACAAATCTGAGTGGGTAGAGGACCATCAAGATGGTTAACAGGTTAAAGCACAGGATTTATGAGGAGAAGGTGAGAGACCTAAGTTTGTTCAGATGGAAAAAGAGAAGGCTAAGGATGGTGGTGGGGTATCAAATGGTTTCCAGTTACCTAAAGCATGGTTATGAAGAAGATAAAGTCAGACTGTTCTTGGAAATGTATAATGAAATGTCGAGAGGCAATGGTTAAAAGTCATATCAAGCAAAATTCTGAATGGCTATAAAGACAAAAATTTGCCAGAGCAAGGGCAGTTAAACACAGGAAAATTACCAAGAGGGGTAGTGCAATCTCTTTTCTTGGAGATAAAGAAAGATTTGACTGAACAATGCCCCGAAAAGCCTGATCTAGCTTTGACATTAGAATGGTCTCCAGAGGCATCATCCAACCTAAATGATGTTTTGATTCTTGCAATGAAATAATTAGCAAGTGTGAAGTATGAATAGCCATGTGCAGGCTCCAAACTTGACTCACTGAGAAGAAAACAACAGCATACAATCAGTGTATTATGTTTCTCTCTGCTGACTAAAGGAGAAACATGATGATAATAATAAATGTGTTTATATTAGAGGGTGGGGTGGCTTTATATAGGCACATGAGACTACAGAACACTGAAGAAAGAACTGGACAAAAAGTAACCAACTATTGGATTTACATTTTCAACACAGTAAATCAAGACATAATTCTACAACTTACTAACGAGAAGACAAATGCTACCTTGAACCAGCAATATTCCCATTCCTCCTTACAGGAGACCCCAATAACACAGGGGAGCTATCAAAGAAGAACCAATCGGTATCTTGGAATGTAGTCAACAAAAAGCTTTCAGAAATAATGTAGTAAATTGCTTTTGAGTTTGCACAGTGTACATCAATCATGCAGCATTTCTGCACAGTGCCAACTCAAAATTAAAATTCCTGGCACCCATTCAAATCTTCTGATTCTACCCATTCCACTCACAATGGAAAAACAATGCTCCAAAAATTATTTATTGAAGATATTCCCATATATACTTACTCATAATGTTCATATCCAAAAGTGGCCCTATGTCTGCTAAGTATCCAAGGAAAAGATATGCTGCATTCCTTTTCTACATCTTTCATGTTTCAACATTGTAATGAAACAACACCCTTTACTTCCCTCTATCCTTGGGAAGGAAAAAAGGAGAGAGGAAGTGATGTGATGACTAGATTAGTAGATACAAACAACTTCTGGGGTTTTAACAGGGTGAGGAGAGAGGAATAAAAACAGTTTGGTTGCTCTGAAGCATTAGTTGATTCCACCCAGACTCACATGCATGCTAAATCTGTGAGATTCAGGAAAGGAAGGAGAAAAGTTTCTTCAGGTCTCCCATTAGGCAGATTCTCGGAAAGGAACAGTTGATTGTGTCTTGCTTGTTAACTCTCTCCCAAACTCTAATTCTTATTTATGAAGATTTCCCAATGGGTCCAACAGCCATTCCAGTGGAATTAGTGCCTTGTCACAGATTACCTTCTACTGTCTTTAAAAGGTGCTGTCAGCCCGACTAGATTCTTGGTTTTGAAGATAAAAAATACATATTTTTTTCTTAGGGCAAAGTTTTCACTTTCTTTTCTATCTTTTTTTTTTTGTATCAGCCCAGAAGTTTAATAATTTAAACTTACAAGTCTGTCACAGTAAGTGACTGTCCTTCAATGCAAACTGAGGTATCAACTTCTAGAAATAAATAAGAATGACAAATTTGAGAGATGATTACTGAACACTGTAAGAGTCAAGAAAAAAGGAGAGATTAATTGTTGAGAAGATGAAGAACCCTTTATGATGTACCCATCCCCATTCTTACTGAAGAAGTATGAGAATATTCAGAGGTGGATTGAATCTTAGGGACCTGAGTGAAGACAGTTAAGTGAGTAGTGGTTACCAGGCACAGAGAAAATTTTATAGTTTACTGGCTTTAGTGAAGCACAGTGTATGTAGTGTATGAACTCATAAGAATATGCTAAAGCTTCAATAAAAGTTAAGGTTAAATGCCAAACAACTTCAAAAACCTACTTCAAAATTTATTTCCTTCATTGTCTACATAAGATAATTCTCCTTGTACATAACGCTGCAGAATCACCTTAGTCTAATTTACCGAATAATATTCTTGCTCATCCTAACTCATCCTAATGTTATAATGCATTTTAAAGCTGACCAAGCAAATGATAATAAAACATGTATTTCATTTACCTATATAATTTTGTCTAGACGAGGCAAACACCGGATCAGAGCTATGGTACTCTAAAAAAACCATCTGCAAACCAGGGAAAAACCTACCTCAGTGGTGCTACTGCAAGGTTCCAGTCCAATCATATTGGCTTCTACTAGCTGCTGAAGAAGTTGCACTTGTGCCACACTGAGGAAGAAATCCAGGTTTGTTGTCACATTCACCTCCAAAGAATGACCACACACCAAAATTTCCTGGGGAGAAATTAAGGGAATATACTAGATAACAGCTTCTATACAACTGTATTGTAATTCTCTGCTGTAGTCAACCACTACATCAATGCTTCAACATCGTATATAGTATTAATTTGGTCTTTCTAGGAGAAAGTGGTGTTTCAGGCTTCTAAACAAGGATGTGGTTTATTCTTTGCTTTCCTTTCAACAGCATAACTATTACGACAAATTCTGCAAGAAAAGCATCTTATATGTGAGGTCTCGTTTCCATCTCTTGGTAGTATCAAACAGGGGACTGTCAGATTTTGCTTTTTTATTTCCTTGGCAATGACTACAATTCTCCTTTCTTTCCAAGAAAAGGATGTACTTTTTTTTTTTTTTTTTTTTTAAACATAAGCTCTACTTGATTTAGAATGAGATCATGTCTTGGAACTCACTGATAACCAACCAAATAGATTTCTCTTTGCCTGTAAGTCACTGTTAATACTTTGGCAAAGCCAGCTGGATGGCCACATTTTATTGGTGTTACCTAGCACAAAAAAAGTTCTCCACCACTGCTGGCAAGCAATAATGAGAAGAAAAACAGAACTAATGCAGAACGGTCACTTAATAAATAGAAGTACTGCACCTTCTCATGAGAAGGTTGCACAATCTTCAAGCTCTTTGTAATCTAAACTAGACCTCTCCATTCATCAGTGAACAGCATTCAGTGAATAGGTAGCAAGAAAAATGTATGTACAGAAAACACTGAAAGTCTTGAACATAAGCATTAGTAAAGCTCAAGAGATTTTTATTTTTTTCAATTTAATAACTTCTATGCATCCTAGCCACCCCTAAGATTTCTATTTCTTTTTTACATTAAATAATTTTCCATCTTTCCTTGTGATCACCCTTTACACAAAATACGATGCTGTCAATTTTTTCTTTCTATACCCATTAACTATCACTTTCCAACAATACACCTACCGCACGTAGCAATACACATCTAATACTCTTTACACTCCTGTACCAGTTTTGCTCTTCCCAGGAAGTAGCTACTATGAGAAGTACTACTTCTGACCTGACAAAAACTTTCTGATATTTCCCCTACATAAAATGTTTTAAATTGTTGAGCTACAAACAAATATCAAAAGTGAGCCAGCATCTTTTGTGTGTAACATGCTTCACAGACTAATCACTAACAAGCTGACCCACAGACCAGTAAAAAAGATTGCTAAATCTGGAGTACCTTGAAGTAGCCACAGTTATGGTTGGAGAACTGATGCCTTGTGGAAATCTGTGGGCTTGAAAATCTGGCTAAAAGAACTCAGCTCAACTTTCTTCTTATAGTGTACAGATTGCAGTTTCAGGCTTCTTTATGAGAAGCTTCTGAACACAACGTTTTGTATTGTTGTACTATAGCACCTCTTCTCAACACTTTTCTATCACATATCTTTTAAAAATATTGCTGGAAATCATTAAAGGATTCGCATTTTCTGAATTGCAAACAGGCTTATCTACCTCTGGACAGGTTGCCTTTAATATCAAATGCTATACAAAAATTCTTTCTCCAGCCAAGAAAGAACATTTCAGCTAGTGACTAAGATTTTTTTTTTCCAGTTGGTGATCTCTGCATTTGAGAAAACACCTGGACACTTAAAATGGCGGAACAGTAAAATATTAAGTTTATCCATATATTAAAAGTTATGCTATTTCTGTTCACATTTTGTACTAACCTCTGGGTGTAAATTCTCCGCAGCATCAATTTTTGTAAAAATAATCGCAGGAGCTGCAGTTATTCGAACTGTGAAATCTGTTAAAATTGGAGTTAAAATTGCTCTCCTTTCCTGATGCCTTCTTATGCTAAAAAAAAAAAAAAGAAAAGAAAAAAAAAAGTGTGAAATTACATCATAAATTATTGAGTGGCAAAAACTTCTAATATTCTTCTTTACATCCAGCATGTAGCACATACCAGTTTGGTAAGCATTAATAAGCATTAAATATCATAATTATAAATAATGTTAATTCCAATTCTGAAGGCAGCCTTCTACCTTAATTTCACAGAAAATGTATGTCTAAATATTTGACTCTTCAACCCATCTCCAGGTAGACAAGTCTGACATTTGACATTGCTTCTTCTACTGTTTAACAAACTATGCAAAACCATTTTAATTAAGATACAAACTTTACTAGTAGCATTTTTCAAATTTGCCTGTGGATGCCCTTCACTTTATGAATAGCTGTCCTGAAGCCTGCATAATATTTGAATCCATGCATTAAAACTCTAGTGAAAAAATCCTGCACTCAACGACCTAAGTGACACAAAAAATTAAAGACGTGAAAAATTAAACTAGCAAATCCCTTGAAACTCTAGGACTTGCATATTAAATTTGTAATAACTATTGCCCAAGGCCATGTAAAATGCCTTGAAAATGGAGGGATGTCAGTCTTCCTCTACTGATTCTGTCACTGGTTGTTCTTATTTGGTACATTTTAATCTAATACCAATGATTGCTTGCCAAGAATATTTGTGCCATTAAACTTGATAATTACATTTTTTTCCAGCTGGATTTCCATCCCCCAGTCCCTCCCCATTAACCAAATAATAAGCCTAGAGGCACAACTCTGTTACAGATGGATCACTAATAGCTTATGACAACACGTTCTAAATAGCCAGAATCTTCTGGGTCAGGTCAAATAAACTATTGCCACAAAATGCCATCTGAGAGGCTCTGATCGGGATAAAAAAAAAGGTAATGAGATCAAGATGGTGTTCAGCCCCTAAAAGAGGATACAGTTCAAATTCTTGGGAGAACCCTTCCATCAGGGTAGTTTTTTTTATAATTTTTTTTACCTATAATAATTTATAGAAATGCTAAGTACCTGCATTTCACCAAGGAGAACTCTACAATAATTAAAAAGTTATTGGTCCAAGTTAAGTTTCCTATGCCTTCAAAATAGAAAATTATTGACTATGAAACAAGTCAAGTTAAAAATATACATTAAATTATGCCAATATCTGGCACAATATATAAAAAAAGACTAAACTATACTGCCACATAGAAGAAGAAAATAGATCTATGCAGATATATCTGCAGATCAGTTAGAGATCCCTGTATTACCTTTAATCTTGCTATCTCCAGAATGGAAACAAGGCAGTTCAGACACCAGCATATATCACACAAGTGAGCCAGACACAGGAACTACGCAACTGGACAATTAGTCTTTATCATTAGCTAGAGTTATCCATTTCAGTGTCATTAAACAATATTGTTATATGCCTGTCGATGCAGAAATCTCTGGACCACATGTGGAATAGGCATTTAAATCTCTTGATTATAGAATGGGTACTAATACACGTAGTCTAGCAAAGGCAATGGTTCTGAAATGGATTCTGTTGAAAAGTACACAATCTCAAATGCTGATGGTTTGTAGGCTAAGAGTTATGCTAAAAAGAAATTAAATAGATATCTTAATGTGACTGTAATTCAGTCAAGTTCAAAAGATTCAAAATATATAGATGAGTTTACTGCTTAGACTATTTCAATTTTGATTCTTCAAATTCTAACAACTTGCTTAAGTGTCCTCAAAACATGTAGAAAGCATGACAACCTATAAGGGAATGTAAACTGTAAGATATGGGTAGGCCTTAGAGCTTTCAAATTTATTCAGAGCAACAGTATACACAAGTTAACAGCAGATGCTACAGAGCACAGAGTTAGTATTTACTAAGCACAAGTCTAAAACTTTTGCTGCAAATGACCTTCACAAACACCGCTGAGCAGGCTGCACACACATACTACTATAAGTAGTACGTAGTATGCTTAAGAGCAAGCCAATTAGTGACTGTGAGAAAATTACCACCTTACATTAAAAGCTTTAACATTTTAGTCACCTGTAGCTCTGCTGGTCTGTAATGTTGGCTTTCAAAGCAAGATTAGTCCAATTAGATCCCCAAATTAGAAAGCAGACCTGTTAGTGGTTAACGGACATCTTCAACTGAGAAAATGGTCTTAGATTTTGCCAGTTCTACAAATGCTTCTCTCCCCATCACCTTCATTTTAAATTTAAACCAGATGGCTTTCTACCCAATTCCTATTTCACCTTCACAATAGGATGAGAAAGAAATGCCTTTGTTTTTGAGGAAAATGAAAGAGCTAAGTAGCAGAACAGTTCTATGAAAGAACACATAGCTATACATTAGAAAACTTCCACTTGAAGGGGCATAAGACTGCTAGTAAGGGTGATTTCAAAATATGAAACACAGCTATAAAAGCAAGTTATTTATTGAACCCCAAACCCACAACCGGTTCTTTTAAATCATTGTTCAAATTATTTTTCAGCTCACCCATATTCCCATTTCTTAATTTTCAAATGTTATTCTAGTAGATACCTAGTACACTACATCTTAAATGGCTTTTTTGGTAATATAGGTTGATTGCTGATATTTTTTTTTTTTAAATAATCCTTACGTGGGATCCCTGTGCCGCTCTACTTACTACTTTCCGCATTTCTAGTTGGTGAATTTGAAAGCTCAGCCAAATCAAGTATTAGTAAAATAACTGTAAGTACAAACAGAAGGCAAGCAGAACACAGTAAATAATTAAGGGAGAGGGTATGAGAAAGAGCACCAGAGGAACAAAGAAGCAAATTCCACTTTGAATTATTAAGTCTTCCACACTGCACCTAAGTGCACTGTTAACTTAATACAGGTGTACGCCACATGAGCTTATGAAAAAACTTGATTGTGAAGAGCGTAATGATGGCTCTATGTCTGCAGCACATTCATTCCATGGTTCATTTATGCATCTGTTATATATTTGTCTTGGAAAAAAAAAGGAAAAGCTAGTACTTTTAGAGATGTTAAAGCACTTGATCATCTACACTTAAAAGTACAGCACATTTGAAAGACCATATGCTAACACAAAGCAACAAGGCAGCAAAGCAGTTGTGATAAGGTCTGGAGGTGTGTTGAATTTGGGCTATATCTGCATGGTAACGTGAACGCTGGTTATGGACCACAGATCCACACTGTAAAAGCATGAGAACAAAAATGGTCTCTATGCTCAAAGGCTTACAATTTAAGTATAAGAAAAAACACACCTGCAGACAGGAAAGTAAAAGGGAACAACTAACAGCACCAGAGGTAATAATATCCTTACAGTGGCAACCTGAAAGCTGTCCTATGAGTTTTCATATTACAGTATAATAGAAATATTTTTTTTTTTAAGGATCTGGAAGAATGTTGCGAATGTTCACATGAAGTGCCTTTATAACATATAGGTTAGCCTAGGAGCAAGCAAGAAAGTGCTTCTTTGAAAATTAAATGCGGTAGCCCTGGTAACTGGTATGGTGAGGTGTGATGAGCAGTAAGTGTAGATGTGTCTATGTGACATATAAGGGGAGATGGATACAATAGAGGTCTGGAAGTACCTTGAAAGCAAAGACGTATCTAATGACAAAAAATGTCATGGTAAGAAGTGAGAAAAAACGTGAAGAACAGAATTTTGTAATCAAAGCAACAACATTTGATTACATAAACCCAAATCATCAGTATTTGATTACACCCACTCAGAAGCACATTGAATTTATATGAGGAGGACAGACTGCCAAAGAGATGATGTTGCATTTATCAAGAAGGTGTGATGATATGAAACTGGACAAGTTGTGAAAATGCACCAAAGACTATAACTTGTCCTTCTTATATGGAAAAACTAATCAAAACAAACCGAAAATACTAGCCAGTAGGTAACATAACCTAGAAGTGAAACTTGGAAAATTTTGTATTATTCGTAATTATCATTTAATAAAAATTACATAAAATACATAGGTCAGGGAGAAACTCATATACATTCAATATATGAATGACAATCAAGAGCTCATTTATACTGTGTAAGTTTACTATCTACAGAGAAATGTGTCCTTACAAAGAATTCTGTGTCTTGAAAAAGAAAAAAACCCAAGTTTTAGCATGGAATAGGCCACATTACCAAACAGTGCTCTCTAGTAGTGTAAGGCATGCAAAACCAAAGATGATACGTTGGTTAGCATGCTAACTTAGGACTTATAAAAGATGTTTCTCTTTCGGTTGTATAAACCAGTTAATCCCTGATCTACAAATCACAGAATCACAGAATTGCCTTGATTGGAAAAGACCTTTAAGAGTCCAGTCATTAACCTAACACTGACAAGTCCTCAACTAAACCATGTCCCTAAGCGCTATGTCTACATGGCTCTTAAATACCTCCAGGGATGGGGACTCCACTGCCCTGGGCAACCCCTTCCAATGCCTGAGAACCCTTTCAGGAAAGAAATTCTTCCTAATGTCCAATCTAAAACTTCCCTTGGTGCAACTTGAAGCCATTTCCTCTTGTTCTATCACTTGTTACTTGGTTGAATAGACTGAACTCCACCTCTCCACACCCTCCTTTGAAGAAGCTGTAGAGAGTAATAAGGTGTCCCCTCAGCCTCCTTTTCTCCAGGCTAAACAATCCCAGTTCTCTCAGCTGCTCCTCATAAGATGTGCTCTAGACCCTTCAACAGCTTCACTGCCCTTCTCTGGACATGCTCCAGCACCTCCATGTCCTTTTTGTAGTGAGGGGCCCAAAACTGAAAACAGTACTCGAGGTGCAGCCTCACCAGTGCCAAGTACAGGGGTACTATTGCAATATCTAACTACTGTAATGACACCACTGTGCCTCAAACCTCCATCTCCCAGTGGGCAGAACATATTGCATCCTTTCAGCTCTCTGAGGTATTGCAAAGATACATTGCAAGACAGTGAAATAACACAGCAACATTTTGAGGACTATCTAATGACCAAAATTAGATAGTGAACAAATGCACACCATCTGGCTGTACAGAATGACTATTGTTATATAATTATGCCTCAGTAAAGCTAATTTTCATCATATTAAGAATGCCGTGCAACATTTATTTGCTGTTGATTAATAAAGAAAATAAAACCCTCCATCTTATTGAGTAAGGCTCTTACAGTATGAATACAAGCAAAACTTCAAGTATAATAAACACAGCAACTGAAACACAGGACTGAATACAAATGTATTGAGTTTTATTCCAAAAGATTCACAGGGAATGCCCCCTACTTCCCT